GGGAATTACTATCTAAAAGAACTTGTTCATATCTAATTCTAACAACTATGATACATGTTGCTTTTATACAAATTCAAAATATAATTTTTAGATTATACGAATTCATGTTCGCTATATCACTTAAATTCTATTGGTTAAATATTCGTTCACTTATTCGTTTGCTCGTTCGTTTAGTTATTCGTTCATTCGCTCGTTTACTTGTTTGCTCGCTTGTTCGTTCACTTCACGTGATTTAATCTTTATTCAATAAAATATGAGATATGTATAATTCAATAATAAAATATTATGACAAAAGGTCATTATATAACAACACAACAAGAATGACTACAAAACTATTATAAATGCTCACATAATATTAAAAATTAATGCAACATTTGTCCAAAAGAATAATACATCCATCATCAATTGAAAATAATACCAAAAGCAGATCTATATTACTTTAATATGTATTTAAATAAATGTAATTTAACATAGAAAATAAGATATTTTATAATTTATCTTTGATTTTGGCAATAATAAAAAATAGATCAAATTGCTAATTATTTTAATTATTTTATTTTTATTGATTTCTCTTGTTTTTTTTGTTATAATAATTTATTATATGTTAAATTATTATTAATACTTGTTAAAAAGCTTCACTTATGAAAATTATAAATACAATTTTTGTCACTTAACATTGAAACTTATATTTAGAGAAACTTAGATTATATACTTTTATATAAATATAATCATTATCATTTATCTTGTGAATATCTTCATCTGCAAAGATCACAGATCAGTAACAATATATGATACTATTATATACTGATAGTTATTTAAAAATATGAAATAATAAATAGTATAATAACAGAAATCTATAAGATTTTATATAAGAATTATATTAATAATCTTATGGATAAAATAAATTTCTAAACTATTTGAAAGAAATATAATTATAATTTAAATTAATTTTAATTATATTTCTAAACTAATTTTAGTTATGTTTCTAAACTACATTATTAATTTTAGAACTTATTATTATTTATAAAATATTTAATAAAAAAAATTTTATAAAAGTGAAAATGATATATATTTATTTTTATTATTATTGCTTATAATAATTATTAATAATTGTTAATAATTGTTAATTATTAATAATTGTTAATTACTAATATTCTAGATAAAATAACAAAAATTAACTAAGAAAAAAGCTTTCAAAAAATATTGATGAACAATAAGATATAGAAATTTTTTACATATATTTAAAATTAATAAAGATAAATGTATTTTTTTAATCACATAAAAGAAATATACACTATCTTTAAATTGAGATATATCATAATCTATTAAATAAACTTGATGAATTTTTTGAAAAAATATTAAATTTATCAAATATATCAATTTATAATAATAATCAAATAGAAATGTTTACTTTTACTACTTTAAAAAATACAGATATTATATATATTATCAATAATTTTTATGAAAAAAAGTTCTCTAATGTAATAGTAAACATCAAAAACAAAATAAATTAATATAACAAAATAAGAATGTTTAGAATTTTTAATATGCTTACTAATATATATATATACTTACTAATATATATATACTTACTAATATATTATTAACATTAAATAGTATTATTATTCAAATTTTATAGAACTATTAGAAGAGAGTCGCACTTATTTAATGATACTGATAAAAAGTATTAATAAGATAATTCATATAATTTCTAAATTTGATTGAGAAAGAAGAAGAAATAAATTTTTTTATAAATAATTTTATGTTTTAAATGTGAAAATTAATTAAATATAAAAATACGAAAGAATATATAAATGCAAATATATATATTTAAATATATATAATATTTATATTCATATAATATAATATTTGATTTTTCAATTACAATTTGATTATATGATTTATATATAGTATCACATATATAAATTAACAGTAATTAATTAATATATATTATTAATATTAATTGATTACCAATTAAAAATTGATAATAATCAATTACTATTATTAATAATTGATTAATAAATATAATTATTAATTACTAATTAAATTAGTATTAATTAATATCAATTAATTATCAAACAAAATTAATAATAATTAATTATTATTATTTGTAATTGATTATTATCATCAATTAACAAATATAATTAATAATTACTAATCAAAATTAGTATCAATTAATATTTATTATTGATATTAATTAATTATCATCAATTTTTTCTAATTAATGATAATCAATTTTTAGTTAACAATTAATTATTAACCTGTTTTAAAATTTTATAATATATTTAAATAATTCATCTTTTTCTCTCAACTATATATTTCAAAACTTGTAAACAAGTAGCTTTGGATCATATTAAATTAATCAAAATATTATTATTGAATTATTGAATTAATATTTTGTTATAGATTAGTCTTTTAATATTTTTGTTATAATTGAATTATTTGAAATCTCTTAACTAAAAATATTATAATCTCTTTCTTGTGAGAAGAATAAAGTGAAAGAATTTTTGTTATTTTTAGCTTTGATTAAAATATTTTGTTTAGTAAGTACAGTTAATTAGAATACTACTTGCAAATCAAATACTATTATCTTGCTTCCCTTTCATATTTTGTTTCTTTTTCAAACTATAACAATTTTAGTAAAAATTGGTATAGGACTTTAATATATTTTTTTTATTATTCTTATTTTTGTTTAATTATTTTTCCAGTTCACATTTATTAGTTAATTACACAATTAGTAAAAAACATGTAATAATATAATATCTTTAATTTATATATACAAATCAATAGTGTCTTGGTATTTGTATTTATATGATTCAAAATATAATTTATTCTCTGAAAAGAAGAGTAAAATTTTTGGAATGCAAGCAGATTCCAATCATGATTATTTGTTAGACAAAATTCAAAGTATAATTCTGATGATAATTTGCCAAATTAATAACAAATAGGAAACTTCTCTATAGCTAACTTCACCTTTTTCAAATTACTTTAACAGTTTATAGAATATAACGTATACTGTTTGCCAATTCGTTTTTGTGGCTGCCAATCCATTTAAAGTTAGATGATCTTCTATTCACTATGCGGTGATACATTTTGAAGATCAACCAATCAGATTTAAGCTCGCTATGCTCCAGACCTGCGGTTTATGATAATGATAACGAAATTAATAAACATTTTTTCCCAAATATCTGATTACCCCAAAAATAAAAAAGCCCAATTTTGTGTGATCATTAAAAGTAACTTGTTTCTCCACCCACTAATCGAATATTTTGTTCGCTTTTATCCGTCCGTGCACGCATCATTTACCGTAAACTTTTTATTCAGCAAAATTTTCATCTTTTATAACAAAGACAAGCTTGCGTCATTATGCATGCGGTATGCCATTCATTCATTCATTCTCATTATAGAGTGCTGTATATAGACACGATTTTATGCAACAAAATCAAGGGTTATAATAACGATAATGCGAAAATGCAACATAAATAGAGATTCATTAACCTTGTTGTGCGCATAGCAGATATTCGTTTTGTTATTTTTCTACTTCTCCCTATTTTACACAATATTAATCCTAATCCTATATTCCATTTCACAACCACATATCAGAGTGTGAATCAACAACGATTTATTGGTTGAACACATAATTTGATAGAAAACAGAAGATTTATTGATGCATAATATATTGAAAAAGGCGTTGGTTAATCCAAATATTACGAAGTAACATTTAGCTTAAAAACTACAACACCCGTATTCCCCAGTACTGACTGATAGGGTCATCAGTAGCTTAACTTCGGAGATCGGACGGGCTCCGGTGCTTTTCACTAATTTTTTCTCATTCTGAAAAAGAAAAAAACAGTGTGCTAAATGAATCTGATTCCGAACCAACGCTATTAGAAGTCGATGCCTATAACCAAAACTTGATATTAAAGATCAAAGGTTCAGTCTCGTAAGTTTCAATTTATTCGTGGATTTTTTGGCCAAAGATATCTTCTAATTGCATCGAAGAAGCTTGTCGAGTACTTATCTTGTACCCAAAAAGGGAAAATTTTAATAACAGAGGGGTAGGTTTTTATATTAAAGGGCAGGATAAATTTGAAGGAAAAGGAACTTGATAAAGCATAGATTATCAAATAAAGGTATTTTAAAATATATATCATTTTTTTTGAAACGAATACAATCTCGGTCATACATAATGACATCAGTACACGTTAGAGGAGTTGGTGGTTACCTAAAAGGACCAACTGTGTTGCTTCGCATCCAAACTCGTGGGGAGAATCAGGAATATACCTGTGGACATCAATCTAAACCTGGATAGATCAAAGCTCGAATTGCGGTTGCGAGCCAAACCGGGATGTTAACTGTGTGAACAATGCTTCCTCACCATCCGACGAAACCGGCTCACACCGGCGCGGCCTACCTCCTGCAAGACTTGAACAATAAATCCGACTCGGGTTTCACACGAATGTATAGGTTTGACTCTGTTTGTAATGATTGATTGGAGTCATTGCATCAAAAATCAAACATTAACCCATAGACATTGCATCAATATTATTATACAAAAACCAAAATCAATCATTAACTCACTATACAAAAGCCAAAATCAATCATTAACCCATAGACTTAGCATCATATGATAAGAAAAACGATCACGTTATTCGTTCACGTTATGTTGCCATATAGTAACACAAAGTAAAAAAGCAAAAAACATGTCAGAATACAATTTTCCTCTTCACGTTTACCGAAAAAACCAATTGGTTCAAAAATCGAGAAAATTAAATAAAGCTTCATCTAACCGGTCGAACCCGAAACATACGCATCGCTAACTTCGCATCTTTCAAGAGTTGTTTACTTTTACTGACAGATAATAGCTAAAAGCAAAAAAAAACTAGCGCTCGATTCGAAATCATTTTTTGTTTATTTTCCTAGTAAAGAATAAATTCATGGCAGCGGTGGAACAACACCAACAAACTCCTGCGTCACCATTCACACCTCCCTTATCGCCGCCGACACATCTACCTTCGTCACCTCTTGCTGCACGTTCACCTTCCCCTTCCGTATACGACGCTTTCCCACTCGTGTGTGAAGACCCACCAATCAGAGCGCTCACCAGCTCACAGTATTATCTGATAAACGAGGCATATTATACCAATCCATTACCCAATGACATTTTGTTTCCCTGGTTGCATGGTGTTGACGGGACCAACCACCAACAGAACATGTTTTTCAATGTGAAAAATTGTAAAGTTCCCGAACATCGTGGGTTGACTATTGTTCAAGCAGAAGAGAATAGTCTAAAGTCACAGTTGGTAGGATCGGTCTATCCAAGTGACATTCTAAATCATCCACCGAATGAAGATGAAAATGCGTTTAGAGGATTCTTGAATATACAAGAAGAGGATGCGATCAATTTGAGAAATTTCAAGATTCAAGTCGCTAAATATGCTACTCTTTCCGATGTTGTGGTGTATGGAGAGCATGGACTAAATGATCAAGTTTTACAGATTGCAAAACAAGTGGCATGGGCTCAACAAGTGATGAGAGAAGAAAGACCAAATGGAATAGAGTATGAAACTTTTGTGATCATAGGTAAACACAATATAAATATATAATATGCAATATAGACTTCCAAAATCAATATGCTTATAGATCAAGTCTAATTTGACATATGAATAACTAACTAATGTGCATAATCTCAATAACAGAGCCATTTGCTGTGTTCGAAAAAGATTTCTCAGATCTTGTGGCAATAGATAGTCAAGGGGTCATGTGTAATAAAATTAATTTTTTGGATCAAGAACGAGAGGAAATGAGATTATTAACGGAAGCAACTGAAATTTCTCGTAATGTTTGGGTAAATATTTTGACTAGAAATTCCCAACGAGACGACAGCAAAATAGTAATATTTATTTTTTCTATTTTAGTTAGGTAATGCGGCTGATGTACCTGTGATCAATGAAAATGATCCATCAGATTCAGCAATATCTTTGATTGACGACAACCCACATCAATTTTCTATTTGTATTGAAGCTCATGATGTGGCAGAATTGCCGACTCGAGAAGTTTTAATAAGTGTGGCCGAAGCACTAGATAAGTTACCGTCTTCACCTCCTTCGTCACCGCATTCTTCAGCAAATGAATTAGTTCACCTGGACTGTGTATCGTCAGGCGTGAATTATAGTACACCAGCAGCTTTGGATGTAATAGCCACGAGAATGATTGATCTTTGTGAATTTATTTCACAACAAGCAAACGGATATGACCGTAAAATTCTCATTTACTGTATAGACGGCTACACAGAAACATCATTGTTAGCGTTGACATTTCTCATGTACAATGAAGATCTAAGACTTCCTGCTGCTTATCTTAAACTTCAAGAAACACGGAGTTTTTTCGTGTATCCAAATGACGTAAATACTTTACTAGTCATAGAACAAAAAATTCAAGAAAGAACAGAAGCTAACGTACAAGTAGACACAAATACGTATCCATGGTTTCATTCCCATCATTTTGAAGGAAGTTTTCCCAGTCGAATTCTACCATTTTTGTATCTCGGTAATTTAAATCATGCGTGTAACGCAGGAATGCTAAAGGCTTTAGGGATTACGCATGTACTCTCAGTAGGGGAAGATGCGAAATTAAATCAACGTGATTTTAAGGTTTTATTTCTGGATAATTTGTATGATGATGGCATTGACAGTCTCTGGAAACATTTGGATAATTGTGTGAACTTTATAGGTAAATTTCATATATGACTATTCCTGTTATGATTATTCCTGTTATGATTATTCCTGTTATGATTATATACGTTGCTAACTTGTTATGTTATTCTTAATTTGAAGAAAATGCCCGTGAAACAAATGGTAATGTCCTTATTCACTGTCGCGTTGGAGTATCGCGGTCAGCCACAATAACAATCGCATATATTATGAGACAACTGGGCAGGCCCCTCGTTTCTTCGTATCTGTTTGTGCGAGCAAGACGCCTCAACGTCATAATCCAGCCAAACCTTAAATTCATGTACGAGTTGCTACAATACGAACAGAAATTGACTGGCCGAATGGGGATCAGTTGGACAAATCTAGCAAAAGAAATTCATTCATTGAACATGTGTTATGTCGGCTCTTGATTATTACGATGAGCAGAGCTATTTATTTTATTTATTCTTTTTTGGAATATGTGAAATATTTATTGAAATCACAAGTGCATTCATTAATTATCATTAAGATGGCTTCTTTGATGGTAGCTGGGTGAGGGGATGGATCGAATTACTCGTACTCCGACCCTAGTTGTATATATTTTTCGATGCGGTCGTACGTAATTTTTATTATTTGCGTTTGATACGCCACATATATATATAAGAAATTATTGAAATTAACACCCCTCCCAACTTTCTTTTCTCTTCAATTAAAGATTTCTTTTATAATTTTTTATTTGAGTTTCATTTTTTTTTCAATAATGTACTCGTTCGTGTTATACAGACAGACACTAAACTTAAAAAAAAAATAATTTTTTTTGTTGATTTATCAGATGGAATATTGAAAAAAAATAATTTTTTTTGTTGATTTATCAGATGGAATATTGAAAAAAAATAATTTTTTGTTTCTTCAATCTCTTGGTTATAAATTTATTAGTGTTTTGACATTATTCGAGCATCTATTCACGAATAAGATGATCGAATACGAGTTCCGTTTATTCGAATCAGGTTTATATATAGTACAGTCAACCTCGTTAAACCAAAAATTTTAATAAAACTCAGTTTATCGAGGTTTATTTAGTAAATTCGGTTGAACGAGGCAGATTTACTATAACTGTCTGGTTAATTGTTTTTCGTTAAGCGGTGCTAAATTTGCTGCTGCGGCTTGGACTGAATCAACTTCGATTTATCGAGGTGTGCTTATTATAACTGTTCCAGAACCAAATTCGGTTTATGCAGGTTCTAATTAGTGCTTGGATTTAACGGAGGTTGACCTTGTATTTATTTGATCAATTAATTAATTTAAAAAGCTTATTATTCGAATAAACAATATCCAACCACCATGTGTTACACGATAAAGCAAAATTGCTTGCCCTTTTAAATAAAGAAATTCTAATAGAGTTGGGAGTGAGTGAAAAAATCTATGACTAAAAAGAAAGCTATGTATTAAAACTTCCTCGCGCAAAATTAAAATAATATATATCAAAAAAATGGTCTCAAAGTTCTGAGTTTTGCCGTGGAAGAAAAGAGTAGGTACGCAATCGGGTAACTTATTTCTATTTCGACATCAAGTTCCTTCCCGAACTTTTTGTTTCGATTCTTTGTTCAATACTAAAGTGAAGAAACAGCTTTTCTCGGTCTTAGATTGTATCGAAATGGAGAATTTCCCCGATTATTTGATTCCATTTTGTCTCTCGATTGAATATGATCATTATCTTGTTCTGTGCATCGATTGCCATTTCCATTGACCTTTGACGATATATGATTGAAATTTATAGTATTATTGGTTCTTGTTTCTACTCTATTGTTTTCATTTTCGCTATTTAACGATTTTTTGGTTGTTGGAGGATGAGCCATGTAAGTGCCTAGAATTCGATCCCATATTGTGAAAAATGGTTGCGAAAAATTCATCTTTATTCCATAATTTTGATGGTGAATATCGTGACTTGGTAAATGAGAAATAAGTATTAAAGGTAAATATATGGTAACATTTAAAAAAAAAACAATTTCAAGATTCATACTATGCCGAGTTATTCCCAAAAAGAATTTGAACCGGATCAAAAGGCAAATCATATCCACTATGATCATCAACTATATATCAAAATAAAATTAAATACACATAAAAATGCAAATATTTTTAAATGATAAATATTAAAGAAATTAATTACCGGTTTTTAGAGTAGCAAACGAAAAAAACAACATGCCGCCTCGTGTTGTCAGACCAGATAATTTGAATGCGATAGAAGCACCCACCGAATCCAACACAAATCCTTCAACTGGATGATTATAAAGGGCTCCAAAAGCATAAGGAACATATAAAAGATGATGACGTGAATGAATGTGTCGATACAGAAAACTATTTTGATGGAATAGACGGTGGATAAAATATTGCCAGGTATCAAAAAGTAACCTGTTTCCATAAAAATTCATAATTTCAAAGTTATAATTAATTATATTCTGAATTGAAAATTTTAGATAAAAGAAAATATATATTAATAAATTACTTGCATTGCAATTGCGAATTTCATGGTTGGAATAATATACCAGTACGTCGAAGACACAATCATATGTTGAAACGGTGCCAATTGGCGGTTCAGTCCAAATTGACTCACCAATGTATGGAAATTCTGATGATAAATTTTCAATTCGTATGCATCATCAACCAACACATCTTCGTCTTCTGCTACTACCACAAGTAAACCCAAAAGTGTCTGTAGAAACTGCTGTATCAGTACTCCTTTTATCACTTCACCCATCGAAACTTTATTCTTTGTCTCCATTTCATACGTATAGTGAATACGATATTTTTCGAAATAAGATACTTTATATACAGAAACTAAGTGAAAGAATCCCGAATAAACCCAATAAATAATCAATGGTAATAGTAGAGAAAGTTGCTTGTCTGAAATGAATGGAACTATCGGTGTTGGATGTAGAATTTGTGACTGCGACTCACCCACCGGTATATTTGTTGAATTCATGATTAACTGTTATTGCTACATTAAAAATAGAGGAAAAAACGGACGCATAATAAGTATAAATTAGTCGGATTTTTAACAATTTGAACCTTGAAACAAAAAATATATACATTCATACAACACTCACTTTTCAATAGTGGGAAAGTTGCCAGAAAACGTTAAATTTATAAACATATACAAATCGTTGCTTCTTTAGGTTTAGTGTGGACTAACCATTTATTTTTCGATTCTTACTAAAAAAGGTAGAAACCTTTTCAATATCGATACCATTGTTTTAATTGTTTAAAGAAAAAGTATCTTCTTAATCATTAGTTGTACGAATAAAAATTTCTAATTATGAATTGATAAAAGTTACTGGCACGCCAATGTGCGCCGGTTAAAATTTTAAACCGGTTGACTGAGAAAACGGAAAATCGGACCGATGAATAATTAAACTTCTAGTAAAATTTTCCGCACTATTACGAATCTGGTTTATTTACGAATATCTCGAAAAGATAAATAGTCAAAAGTGAAACTTGTTTTATCAAATAGTTTAGGCAACCAGCTCTACTCTAAATGCACTATCTATAAACGCGCACACTATATACACCCTCCGCTCGGCTCAGTCCCAAGCTTTACTCTATAAATGCACATGTCTGATATGATCCCGAGGAGAGTGAGTTCATTGTAAAGCTGTGACATATATTACATAATATATATTTACTATAGAGCTCTCCCCCCAGGATATTATGTAATATCTGTCACAGCCCTAATCATCATCATTCGATAAACCGACCCTTTAGTTTCATTATATACATATATCGAGTTCTTTTTTTTGCATATCCGAATAAATGAATATTTATTAAATATTCATTTTTATTATAGGCATGAATTTTTGTGTATCAATGTGCTGAATTCTGTGTAATTTGTAATAATAAAAAACACGTACATTTCATGTGCGAGATTCTTGCAGTCACAAAGCTTTTTTTAGAAATTGTGCCTCATTTTAACATGAATGATCAAAATTCGTGCAATCACGAGGGCTAATGTCTTATTTTAGATGAACTGGGCGTTTCGTTGTCATTATTGTTGTCATTATCGTTATCGTTATCGTTATCGAGTAATTTCTTGGTTGAGAATCGATTCCTATCTTAGAATATAAACAATCATTCAAGACTTAAAAATCATTATCTCGCATGCTCCTTTTATCGAGTTCCAACTGTATTGTGCATTGATCTAGTAATCTCTTTTCAAAAATATTCCCATGTCATTTGCCAAAAGTAAAGCTCTGTCACAATAAAAAGCGAAACAATAACGATAATGGCATAATTCATATTTATTGGAATTTCAACTGGTTTAAAATATATTTTTGATTCAAAAAGTAATAAAAGAAAATGAATTCATTATTATATTTTGTACGTAAAATGGCAAATAATATTTTAACCTGTTCTATTCCGAAATTTCTGATGCTCTAATTGGATAAATCAATTTTGAAATTTTTTGTTCAAGCAATAAAAAATCAAGTTCCACTTTCTAATTTTCAATTGTTTTGAATACTTATATATTTTTATTGTTCAGAAAAATTTTCTAGTGTTATGATATGAATATTTAGTTCTTATTTTATTGGTTAATTCATATCATAAATTTAATTGGATAATATTTTATTAT